TATTTATTTTAATATTTTAAATATTTAATATTTTAAATATTTAATAATATTTAATCATTATTTAATAAGAAAATTATTACTTGATTGTGGTTTTGAATCATGAGTATATATTTTCCGAATGATTACATCCTAAACTTTGGAAACTGCTGTGCTGACAACATAGAGACTTATGTTTCACTTCTGGACCAAGAGTGCTGGAGCAAAGCAACCTTTCAACTGTGTCAACCATGAGAGGAAAATCATTATATTTTATTTCTTTGCTTTATATTCTTCAGGAATATGTGATACACAAATGCAAGAAAACAACACACTTAAAATGTAATTCCAAATAAATCCCAAACACTAAAAGAATTCTGGAAAAATAATTCAAAATGCCTGGTTGAAAAGGTGTGGTCTTAATTACTTTGGCAAAGGATTAAGTGTGGTATGGAAGGAGGGCATTTCTATTGGCCAGAGATATGAACAATATTGGTTGCTTAACAGGTGGACTTCTGCAGGAAGGGTAGAGAATCATAGAGTTGGAGAGGACCCTTGAATCCAAGTTCCTGCTGACTATAAGAAACTGAAGCATTCTGGCCAGATGGCTATCAAGTTTCCACTTCAACATATTCCCTGAAGGGGAGCCCACCGCCTCCCCTTTGGAGGTGTCACTGTCAAATTGTGGTTAGGAAGGTTTGTTTAGTTTTTGTTTTAACATTCAAGAGGAATCTGCATTCCTGCAACTGAAACCCATTATTCTGTGTCCTGTGCTCTGGAATGAGAGAGTACAAGTCACGATCTTCTTCTTTGTGGTATCCTTTCAGGGCTATCATATCTTGCCCAACCCCCATGTTTTCTCAAGACTAAAAATACCCAGTTCCTTCAATCTTTCTTCATAGGAGTTCATTTCTACTTCCTTTATCATCCTTGTTGCCATGTTCTGAACATGTTCCATTTTCTTCTGAATCTTTTTAAGCTGTGGTACCCTAAACTGGACACACAGTTCAATGTTATGTTTGACCAAAGCAGAATAAATGGCAAATTATACCTCTGTTGAGGCAGCCTAAAAGTGCAGTTGTCTTTTTTGCAGTCACATCACACTGCTAGCTCACATTCAACTTGCACTCCAATACTATCCCAAGATGTTTCTCCATAAGTATTGTTGCCAAGCCAGCTATCCTGTATCCTGTATCTGTGTATTTTTTTCTTTCTTTCACATGAAGAATTTTGTATTTGCATAGCCTCCTGGGTTCTCCCCATCCATTACCATTTGCCTCTGTTAAAGTTAATTCTGTTACTTTATAATTAATTTTTCTGTCAAGATATTTCTGATTTTTTTTGTTTTGTTTTTCCATCTGTCTTCTAGGATATTGGCAATCCCACACAATTTTATGTCACGTACAAGTTTGATAAGCATTACCCCCATCTCTTCATCCAAGTCTTTGATAGAAATATTGTAGAGGACCAGGGCTGGTCCTTGTGGTACTCTACTGGATGGCTCTGTCTAATTTGATGAATAACCGTTGATAAGCACTCTGAGTATTTAAAATTCTGTGGTAGATCTTAAAGTTCATAATGACAGATTTAATTTTCCACTCTCTGGAATTCCAGGTTTCTTTTTAAAAAACCTGAACAGCACACAGCTGTAGTAGGAAATTATGAAAGTAGGTCCTGACTACATTCCTACCTTGAGAGGGGCTATTCTGTGCATGCAAGATCCAGCTTGTACACACTATTTTGACATCAATAGAGCTTTGATTTTATGGTAACCTAAATTTTGAAGGAATGTTTTGAAAGCAGCACTGTCCTGATTAGTTCTACAGTACATTTGCTTAAGACAAGCCATGTTCAGTGGAGTGGCTGGTATAAAGCCATGTAAACCTGACTGCCTTTTTTCTGGATTGGAGCACAGAATAATTATCTAGGACTAACAGTGGTTTCTCTTAAGAACAAAACCCTCAACAAAGTTTATAGGATGATCTCTGCATAATACCAGAGTGTTAGGGCATGTTGTCTCACTGTTAAAATCAGACATGCATCGTAATGTAGGAGTGCTTCAGCCATGGCCCTTTTCTATGTGGGATTATAGCAAATGCAACATTTGCTTAGAATTGGTCATAAAGAACTAGGGCAGTGCCTGGGCATTACAAAAAGCTGACTTCCTACAGACTGAATTGTCTTGCTGAACATATAGCTCAGCATTATGCTTTTTAAAAAAATATGTATATATTAGAATGAAATTACATCAACAAACATGTAACACTAGTCAGATGTTTTTCCTGACTATATTGGAATGTTGCTATGATCTTGTCTTCTATTGTTAATACATTTTCATAGTGTAGCATATGGAAAAGCAGTTTCTGGAATTTATGTTATCCCCCACAATCCAAAAACTGATATGTAAGGATATTATAAATACCACAGAGTTGGCCCATCTCTTACCAGGTTTGCATATGTGTCTGAGTTAAAAAAAGCTTAGAAATTCCACTGGCTTTGCAAAAGGAGATGGTCTCTACTTTCCAATTATCCCTCTCTAATTTTTGGAATCGTGATTCCTTATGTTCAACATTTCAAATAACACTCTAGCAAACTTTAATTGGCAATGCTGTACTGTATGATCACCAACAAGATGTAATCATGTACTTCAAGCCATTTTTATTAGAAGTCTCTTCAAGGAAAAAGAAACACAGAGATCCTTTGCAAGTAAGAATTCAGAGTCAATTACCTGAAAACAGGTATGAAAAACATCTTCTATTAAAATCAGATACAGAATAGAAACAGTGCTTTTTAAAAAATACCACCGGTGACAAACAAGTCTTCCATCATAAATGGCATCAAAGATCATTACTGATTTCACAGCAAAGCTGCATGCACATTTAGCTTATAATGAAAAGCCTTGGAAGTATCAAGCTTTTGCCATGAAATTTGCAGTAATAAACACATGCAGCACAAAGATGTTTCTTTTGCCATCCTATTGATATTTCTCCATATTAAAGACATATGTACACTTTAAAAATTTGGCTGGTAAACCATATTGTTATTCATAAAACTTTTGCTTTAATTGCTAATTTACAGAAATGCACTATCCAAGTGTGCTTATATGTTGGAGGAGGGACTAACAAAATGAGGAGCCGATGTTTTATTGGTGGAAAAGGGATGAGTTGATTAACAACATGATTTTTTTCCTTAAAAAATCAACAATAAAATGGCTCTGTACAAAAAAGCAAAGATATGTACAAAATGCTACAAGCCTACAAATTTATGAGATCTGTCCTTTACCACAATAGAAATGCAGTAAAAGATTTTCTGCTTTGCTGGTAAGGTGCCAGCAAAACCAAATCTGGACTGCTTTACATAAAATCATAGATATGGTAAATCCTGTGTTTTCATCATCTGCTACTGATGTCTAAATTTGCACACACACAAAAAGATATTGCGTTCAATATTTTATACTGTTCCAAAAATGAAAATCCATCCACATGCACTAATTTTCCTGTTTGTGCCTTTTTTGCTTCTTTGTTTTAATGCTATGTTGCTAGAAAGAAAACACAGTTCAGGTCAACTAGCAAAAGATCAGCATCACGTAATACTCGGTGTAGATTTCCCCAATTCTCCTGCCTACTGTGACTGTGCTACAATCAAACAGAACATTAACGTTGCTCTTTCGTTACTGAATTTTCATGTGATAAATGAATTAGACTTTACATACTCTATTGCATGTCCAACACTTTTTTTTACATATAGCAGACATTTATTCATGGTTAGCTTGCTTCATAATGATTCGTGATTTTCCAGTATTTCTGAGCTTTCCTAACGTCAAGTAGCAAACCTAATTTCCTTTCCATGAGCTTCAGGAGTTAGATACGTGTAACTACAGGATACATGCCTACTGCAATTACACATATCATAGCTATCCCTCTTTTCCTGCAGAGAGATCCATATGCTGTAACTGCACTGGAATCGTCCACTTCATCCTGTAGAGACATGCGCACACTTCTCTTCACTTAATTTAAGACATTAATTACATGAACATAGAAAGTACATCCAACTCAAGTTTCCTGTATTTGCACATATCAATAGCATATGACACATTTTCCCTATTGAGACATCACTGCATTGGGAATTTTTCTACTTTATATATTCGTACATGCAGGTGCAGGAAATCTAACTCATGCTTCTGTACTTGCTAAATTCATGTCTAAAGCTCTTACTATTTGGAAAAAAAATGATTTTAACCAATTTATGACCCTCACTGACCCAATTCTAATAAAAGATCTTATGAGATGCAACTGGAAATCATGGCTTATGAAGTATTCTAGTACCAATTCTCCTTTGGATTATTTCTGCTTAAAAATTTACAGGCATTCTGCAGATGTTGCAACATATATTTGGAAACAACCTATTTTTAGTACTTATGGTATCTTGCAAATTGGTAAAAAAAGAGGCAAACTTGTGACACAGCAAACTGACAGCAAGATACATTTGCTGAGCTAAAAATGTGAGAACTCAAAAAAAGAAAACCCATTAAAATGTAGTAAATCGCAATCCGTTCTATATATTAGGTGAGAGTAGATAATTTTTTTTTTCCCCGCAAGGATACTATTGCAATTTTCCCCAAATAACTGGTAACATTTTGAAGTGCCATGCTATTTCTTCCATGAAGCATTTTTTATATGCGCTTTCCAAATTGGCATTGGCAGACAACAATCGAAGGCATAAAAAGACATATTTCGCATAGAACTAATTCCTCTTGTTTCACAAAAGCTCAGGGATTCCATTATAGCTGTCGAATAATACTGCTGGCTGGCAGATGGAGATGAAGATGGTGAATGTGAGCTAGGTGACGTCTACCTGGAATTGCAAAGCAGGAAAACTGAAGGCTGGTGGAGGATGTTTTCTAGCAGTTTTTATGCAGATGTGTGGCAGAGATGCAGCATAAATAAGAAAGGAACAAAAACAAATAATCATTTCACAGCCTCTTGACATAGTTTCCAGGGAAAGTACCAAAAAATTTTGTTCTTCTGGAGGTTCCTGAAAGTAGAAGTAATAAATGAAACATGGCAGCAAGAATACATATTCATGCTCTAAAGACAGCCTTTACATTTCATTTTAGGATTGTTCATGAATATATTCAATGCTACCCCAGTAGGAAAACATGGAATATTGCATTACATAGCCATACAATTTAAGTTAAGCTACAATACTATAGGCATGAAAAATATAATCATAATAGATAATGCAATACTATCATAATATATTTTACTAAGTAACTCACATGGCTGAAAAGACAAACCACCATTAAACATTAAAATGCATCTTGTCTCTTTGGCAGTTATAACATCCAAGAAACCTTTGCAACGTCTTAATTATCCACTGTTTTTTGAACAGTGGCTTGTAAGGAAGCAACAGTTAAATTATAATGTCAAAAACTAGGTTTCAATAAATATTGAATCAATCATTTGTAAATAAAACAACTAAACAAATGAATGCTCTCTCAAAGATTTTCATTCCAACTTAGCAGCTTTTTAGCAGATATTTTGCACATCAGCTTCCACAGGAAGAAGGGAATCCTTAATCCCCTATTAGAATGAGAAGTTCTCTCAATTTATGAGTATGTGACAATGATACTTTCTCCATCAAAGTTAATGGAGAAATCCACTATGTCAAGGTTTAGGACATTACAGTTGCAGGCATTTGCCAAGTCCCATAATATAGTTACCTTTCTAGTGCGGGAGACTGCCCACACATAACAAGGAAGATACTGAGATACGGGTAGATCTCATGCAGCATGTATTCTTTGCTAACCAGTTCTGCATGCTTAGAACTGTGCCCCACAAACATCATTTATTACTGGATATATTCCTCTAGTATTAGAGGTTAGATCCAAGTGGTTATGGAAGATGGTCCAGATGATGTTTGATTTGGGGAGCTCACCAAAAAAAGAAGAAGAAGAAGAAGAAGAAGAAGAAGAAGAAGAAGAAGAAGAAGAAGAAGAAGAAGAAGAAGAAGAAG